CTTCTGATCCCCATGATTCATCAACATTCATATGTAGGGCTGTAGGCCTATAATAGTCTGTGTGTGTGGGCGTTGTTTGTGGGGGTGTGGGGGGGGGGTGAATTATATAGTAAGCCTAATAAGAGAATTAAAAAACAAAATTTAAATAGGATCATTTCTTTAATAAACAATTATATTTGGCTGCATTAAACAGAGGTCATATTCTTGATCAACAAGACAAGACAAGTAATATAAACGTATGTGCCCGTGAGATAGGGGAAGGCAGCCTTGAGAGATTTACAAAATACAAAGAAGGTGCTGCTACTATGATGTAATTACTATAGATGGGAAAGTTAAAACTATGATACAACAATGCATGTAGATACATTCTTACTCAAATAAGTATTAACTGACTCTATAATTTCTTATTGTAATTATTTTAAAAAATAATTCCATTAAGCCTGCATCTTATATAACGGAATACATTCTTTTTTCAAACATATGAACCTAACCTTATTACTATATTATACACTATTTCATTGTATGGAATCATACAATTTAACATGGCATTACCCAGCCGGTGGGCCATGGTTAACAGATAAGCCTATTAGATCAAATGCCTTGACGCCAACTGTTAATAACAAAACAAAAAAGCAGGATTTAATACTTTAGCCTCCCACGTCCATGTATTTGGAAATTAGAAAAATAATGTTCAAATAAAGTACAATGATATAAAGCTCGTCTCGGACATAGCATATCAACGGAAAGGTTTTGTTTGAAAAGTGCCCTCGGCGGGAATTAAGCACGCGAATTCTCACTGTAAAGGCAAGTGTAGTATCACTTGACCACAAGGATGAGAGGTTACAAAACCTCATTGTACCATTGACTTAGCATTAGCTAATTATATGCATGCGTACAGTTAGTGTCACTTATTGTTTAATCTCAATGTCTGTGGCCATTACTCTTCTGCGAATGATATAATAATTATCAAATATTACTATTATTCACTTGACACATGTAGGCTATTTGAAAATTATTGAACGTGTAGTTAACGAAATAATAATTAGATAATTATGTTAAAATAGCTTCCCCAAAATAACCAACATTTTATTAATTATATTTCCATTGCAAAATGTCTGGAATATAACGAATTGTTTTTCACACATTATGTTTCTACCTGAGACTACAGGTTCCCACTTTAATCAGTTAGTTACTACGTAAGCGTATTTTTACAAATCGAGCGTTTAAACTTTAGGCCTATATTCTAAGATGCTTACGTTTATCATTTTTCCCTCTTAACTTGACGTCATTCATCCTTACGCCTATTGATAAACATCCAGAACTGTACACCAAATGACTGGCTGTGATGCAGCACGTACCCTAATTTACATACGCACACGCCCGCTACTGTACGCTCAACCATATTATGCAGTTAGCCTTTTAGGCCTAGAGCGCATTATGTCAACATTTATATGCGCTTCATGTTTTACATCATCAAATGAAGATCCATGAAAAACATATTCATGTTCCTTGGGGGAGGGGACTATTTCATGATGTTGAGAGAGTAGTAATCAGAGGATTGTCATTTGAACCAATCAGACCCACTTATACAATTATAGATGAAGAGAGACAATGCAAATAAAGTGTCTTTCTCAAGAACAAGTGGTTTTGTCTCAAACCACCTATATTTCTATTGGAAGCCCACAGCTTTACCGCTGCGTCACGTGATGTACAAGCACTTAAGATTCAGAACAGCAATAACCATAATGTTAATTAGCAATGAAAGCTTACCAATCTACCAGAATAGTTGTTCCCTACTATTATAAATCTAAAGTAAACACTAACATTATCTTTCAGTACCGTTATTATCAGTTAGTCTGTAAGTAACGAATACCTAACGAATACCTATTGAATATTACAATCCATTTGTCACATAATACTAATATAATAGCAACAAAATTGTTCATGTACATTATAGTATTATAAAAAAATATTGAAACAGAAGTAAGATATCAAAATATTAATAACAAACAATAATACGGCGGTTTAAAATGCAAACTTACAACCAATAAAATGTTATGTTATGGTATCTAGAAAAATAAAATAATAACCTACAAATAATTTCTTATCGCAAAATTTATACAGCTTAAATATCATTTATTTGTTAAAATGTTAACTCTATGAAGTATGAAAACCATCATTACAATTTTGCAACATTTAAGCACTGTCCACACATCGTATTTAATATTGTAAATATCTAAAATTTTCTTTTTATTAGCATGATGAATACATAGGCCTATCACTCCAATATACGGAAAATCATGTCACATAAATGTTCATAGTGTGAACAGAGCTCACGAAAATGATGACGAATAAAGTTGCTTTATTCCATGCAATGCGGTAATGTCTTATCTACAATGTCTTGTAAATGGTTATTATATTGAACGCATCTCAGATGTGCACTGTACGTCAATATAGTATAATATTTACTAAATCTTGATCAAATATCTTATAACAACAATAGCGTTCTCCGTGATTTCTTCGTGCAAGTTCTGTAATAACGCAGTGTAGGACGACCTCTTGCAATTAAATTACTTTTGAACTTTGACATCTATGATCTTAGTGCAAATTCTGCATAGAGATATAATAATATTATGTTTAATAGCTCTATGAAATTCTGGAACAACCGCCATAGTTAATAGGACGCCCTCCTTCAATTACAATGGGCTTATTCGACTGGTTCATTTCCTTGAGTACGAATTTTCGTTGAGTATTATTTTTATTCGACTGGTTCGTAAAAATAGACTTCGTTGACAACGAAAATTAACGTAGCCAGAATGCGTTAAGTTATCCACGTGACCAAAAAAAAAATATGGCCGATTGGTCAGTTTAGCAACAACATTTGCGATAATATAATTTAGATTAAATTTCAGAAAATAACAATTATAATATTTACCCACATTACGAAAAACCAATACTGACACAATCCGAAGCAGCCTTGATTACACAGCGTGTATTGCGGTAACTATGCAGCTGATATATAAATACATATATTGGCCTATATAATATAGAGTATATGATTTGTGTGTGAGCGTGTGTATAATGCACTAATTGTTTAACTTCCTCGTCTACAGACCAGAATACAATTTTGTTATTAAATATTAATTATCATTACCAGCCATCGTCGTCATTTGATTTCGGAGTCTTGGGTATTAGCAGGCACTCTCTGAGTTGACTGAAAAACAAATATAAAATCATGTTAGATGTTTCCAAATAATCCATGACGTTGGCTTCAATGAATTTACATAACTTTATCATGAACTGTCAGTGCACACTGTCCGCATAAATTATGTATGTGATTATTACTTAACAGTTTTCGGTCTTCACCGCGGTCCGTATAAGAATTGTACAACAATCCTCAGTGAACTATACATAATTAAACTACATAAAAATTAAAATAAAAAATAGGCCCTACGCATGGATTTTCTTGTATGACTTGACCTTTGACACATGCATGAGCAGTTACAACTACTAAAGGGTTTGTTATAGGATGAACACAGCTACGTACAGATATACTGTCTAGGCGGCCCTCGAAACAAAAATCAGTTGAAAATTAAAATGAATAACGATTATTCTCGCAAATCAAACGAGATATAAAGGTGCCTTCACATCGAATCCGAATTTTCGGATCGGAAAACCGAACCAATCATAAAATCGAATCAGTATGAGCCCTGTCTAGGCTATCAAATATTCTTTGACAAAAACATGTGACGTGCCTAAATATTGTCAAGATGACATCACATCATTACCACATAGGCACATCATGACTATATATGGGCATACAACAGTTGTTGTCACAGAAGATTTGATAGTGTGAGGAGCGAAAATTAAATTCTTTTGATCTTTGCCCTTTCGCAATTTGATAACTTTTATTTAATTCTTTCACACACGAACAGTTATGAGATAATATGCTTTCAAATGCCTATTGAATACTTATACAATGGTAAAATGTGCACTAAATTAATTGATAGAAATTATTGTTAGTACTGTATAATTGTGTTAGCTATATGTCCATACTATCAAAATGTATGTGACAAACAATGTGATATGCCCATATTTGGGTGTAATATGACATCATCATGCCGATATATGGCACATCACACACATTTGTGTGGACAGAGAAGGGTGGAACTTACTGCTGGTATTCCATGCTTTAGGTCTTAAAGGTGACAAAACCACCGAATCATCATTTCTCACTACAATATGCTGAAATTAGAAGGTCAGAGGATATGATGCAACTATTTTGTTTAAGTTATGCAGGCTGGGGATAATGGAACCATATGAGGTGAAAATGCAACAATTGTTTGAATGGGTTAAATAAGCTAGATATTTCTGTACGTAGGCCTATTGTCAAAATCGCAATATTCTTGGATTCTTATATTAATATAATATATATTTCATATATAACATTATATACTAATTTTAATAATAATATATATAATTATACTATAGGCCTATATCATTTTCACATAAATTATTTAGTAGTCTTTCCATAATCATAATGTTTTAACGAACTAATTTAATTATGTTATAATTAATTGCATACAGTATCATTATCATTACCGTCAATCTCATTATCATTAACGTCAGTATCATTAATGGTTACATCAGCATTATCATAATGAATATTATTTTGGAAGCCATCATCCATTTCAGCAGTTAGCACATAAACATGGCATTTTGAAGCAGTTAAACATAATCTTACAGAAATTTAAAAAGTCAATAAAGTATACACTCATGTATTAGCAATATGGCACACAATTACTCACACACGCAAGTAAGTTTAGCAATTATAATATGCTTAATTGAATAAATTACATTTATATGCACATGATGAGAGAGTGGTTGGTAGTAACAGAATAAATATGTGTATATTATTAATGACATTAATGATGTTAATAATAATAATAATAATAATAATAATAATAATATAATAATAATAATAACAATAATATAACAACATAATATAAATATAATAACAATAACAACAATAATATAAAATATTGTAATGTATTTTTAAAAAAACTAATCGGGAATATAACATAGTATCTAGTGAAAAAGCCTTTATCAGTCTGGCGGAATAATGTGATAATGATAATTATAATGATAATAATAATTTATTAAAATATAAGAATAAACATATAGTTATATTAGGAACAACAATAACATCAATAAAAACAATGGCAACAATAAACAACAAACACAATAATAATAATAATAATAATAATAATAATAATAATAATAATAATAATAATAATAATAATAATAATAATAATAATAAAAATAACAAAACTGTAGTATTAACGCTTAAGCTTCAAAGCTCCAAACATCAACGAAAAACGACATGGGATACGAAAACCAAAGGAGATATTGAAAAAAAGAAGGAATTATTATAGTATTGTATAAGAAAAAATAGGATCACACAGTTTGTTTTAATTTACTAAAATATTGTAGACAAGCAGTATGAGTTAGGCCTACAGTATAGAGGTTACAATAGACAAAACAGTCAGTTTAAACCAATAGATTTATGTAGGAATAAAAAACATGGTTTTATGAAAAGACATAACATTATGATAAAGGCAATTGGTATGATAAAAATATAAAACGATAATAATAAGTAGACGACAAATATTACGTTAACATCTTATGGTACTGAAAAACAAAAAACGTTGGAAGAAACATATAATTTAACTGGACAGACAGAAAGCATGAATATGAATAAAAGTAATCTAACATTCGATGAATAACTATGAATGGTGACGGCATGAGAAATGTTACAATGCAGTGAGTTATGTTTTAGCATGAAGCAACTTTACAAAACGATAAAAGTTCTTATACGTCATCAAGATGCTGTTCATGAGAATGTTTAGCCGACGAAACCATTCCACAAGTATTAAATACGCCGCAGCATGAGCCAGTCTTGATTTCATTCTAGTATAATGGTAATAACAGCAGGATAAAAGAAAATAAAAAACAAAATACACGAAAACGTTTACTTTCCTTCCTGGAAGGTAAGAAAGGTTAACTGATTGAGCGTTTCTAAAAATGATTATATAGAAATTGCTGCGCATGCGTTGTAAGTATCTGAATTTGTGTATGCAACTTTGAAATAATACATGATGGTTAGCGTATCTCATGGAATAACAATGTAAACAGATTATTTATTTAGTTAGGAAAGGTGGATGTTAGCAAAATAGGAACGACGTTAGTTTTGATCAAGACATATCTTCATGTTATGTAGACAAGGGTCAAATGAGATTGAAAAAAGAAATGAATTGTTGATTAGCCTTTTTGAGAGGCCAGCGTTTCCCATTCGTTGCTATCTTACCGAACTATTCTCCAAGACTCCATTATTTCTAGAAGTTCTAACCTCTCGCCAATCCTTAAAAAAATCGAACGTGAAATGGGAACTGTTTTAGTGCCAGAACCCTGAAAATTATGCTGACCGGACAAAAGCGAACACACTTTAATAATGTTTTGTACTTTTTGTAAATTCCATCAATTCACTTAAAAAAATATCCAGCCATTAGCTAAAGGCGAATGTTGTTGCTCTTTCTCTTACATTCAGGACTCCACAGACCTTACCCCGCAAAATATAAACAAGGACATTGAATCCCGATGGCAATGATACGTTTTTCTAAAATTATTTATTATTAATTATGTCAACAAAACACAAGACAGAAGAAGACAGAAAATAAATATATAATAATGTAATCCGATGTAGTTAGTTTCACGTATGTCTCAAAGATAAAATACAAAAAAAAAAAAGATTGCATACGTTAACTCTCCAATGAGGAAGGACTAGCGTTTCCCGAAAGCTCTAGTTCTATTTCCGCTGTTTACTTACGTTTACTTTATAGCTGTTGCTTATCAAATTGGTATCTCTACCGAGATCCAACAATTGTTTCCCACGATGTGTATAAGAGACAGATATATAAGTCTACTTTTTCTATCTATCTATTTATAGAAAATACAGAAAAACATTATATCGATCATGCAAAGAAACAAAAAATGAAGATACCTACCGACTCATATTTATTGTCGAACTTCCGATTACCATTTTTGTACTTATTAAATGTCATGTGCTCTACTCCTACTACAATGAAAGACAACACGATCCCCATGATCAAAATATAAAAAGCACCAGCAATCTTGTTAAGCCCAATTTCATTAGCGTTAGCGTTACGTGCTATGCTCGCCTGATCGTCACTGCATGAGCTTTCTCTTTCGAACCATCTTTTGCGCATGTCTTCTAGTTCACCGTCTTCTTGGAGTTTAAGGATACTAGAAAATAATAATAATTATGAATAATGATCGTTGTTAATAACAGTAATAATAGTAGGCGCTGATCATAATACATTATCAGAGAGCGTAGATATAAAACTTGATAACTCACACAAGAGTAATAATTCAACGCGCAACGCGCACTGCACGCCTAGTATATTGCTTTCTTTTCTAGTCTGTCAAACGCGTACAAATTGCTCGGGTTTTAACTAATAGGACTACGCACTGACTTTGGGCCAATCACAGAACAGTTTGCACTTCAGCGGAGGAAACAGAACAATGAGTGTGGGCTTGAAATTAAATATGACGTCATTTATGCTAATAGTTTCTGGATAAATAATAATACTGTATCACGATTACACTTACGCCATGGACATCTTGTCTCTGTATGGTGATCCTTCTGCTGTTGCAATACCATATCCTTTTAAATTGAATGGTTTACCGACAGTCATCAAGTCGCACTCAGTTTGTTTAATATAGTCCAGGATAGGTGCATCCCAGAAGAACGCGTAATTGCCATCTGCCACACGGTTATATCCTTCTTCAGCACTGTCGACCATTGGCGATAGAAGACTATCGACATCGCTCATGTAGTTCCATAGGATTTCATAAATACCTGTGTGCTTTCTTTTCTCAAAATATTTTTCTAAACTGCTACCATTGATTGTGCCGTATGAAACTTTCTTTTGGTACGCAAGATCTTCCAGCGAGTTAATTGGGTTTTCCATACGAGTTACTGTAAGAAACGCAGCAAGATTTGCCGTATAGGTAGCGATGATGATCAGAGCAAACATCCACCAGGCTGCACTTAATATCCTCCCAGATATTGATATCGGAGTATTGTCACCACCTAAATATAAGAGCAACATGTTAAGCACATTACCTTCCTAGAAAGATTTTAAATGTAAAAATCAGTGATGGTGATACAGAGATTCGCTGCCTGTCAATTCAGCCCACGCTCATAGTGTTTTAGTTTATGGGGAGAACATTTTGCATCGAGTCAAAATTCCTAGTAAATTCTATTTCTACTGTTTAGAAAACTTTTTCAGTAGTACGAATTTACTATGAAAGTTATTCTGAATGTCCAGGGAGGCATTTTGTAGGTGGGGTGGGGAGAATCTATATTACTATCTGTCGTCTTCTCAAATGTTTGTATTGTTGTCATGGCAGTAAAGAGTTCTCGTCACTACATTGTTTTAATTCACCAATAAAAAATGTACGTTCAGAATGAAAATTCTATAAAACGTATTTTGGCCACATATTTTTTACAATCACCAACTACCCGAATGGATTTGAATATCGTTTTTAATAATAAATCTGCACTCCATATGGTCTTTTGAAAGGAATACATATATAAAATATTATCAATGACTATTTCAAAACTTAAGTAGTTGTATTATCAGTTTAAGTTCTCATATTTACTGGAAATATAATCCTATTTTCCTCATATTAGTCTATATATATTTTATTATTTGAGAAGTTTTATTTTCTAAATAATGAGTTGAATGTTAATACTTCGATTAAAATCAAACATACTGCAATGCAAAGCAAAGTTAGCCGAAGCGTTGTATTTGATTATTCTACAAAGTCAATCTGCATTCTACATTCAAGCGGGGATTTAAAAGACCCCATAAGCTATAGGATAACAAAGTAGCAAGTTGCTGTGTATCTGTGAAGATTATTCTATTTTGTTAACAGTTAATCTTTTTAATATAAAGAAAAAAGCAAAATGCAACATCCACATGTTTAGAACATCTGATATTCAAAAATAAGTGGGGTATGTTTGTTTATCCTTTGTGCAAACAAATCCCCTATCCACCCTCCACTCTTTCTTGATTCATTGCCCACCAGTATGTACACAGTCGTTTGATTGTAGGATCTAAACAGTTAAGACTACATAAGTATCCAAATCAATCACATGCATGTACAGCTAACTGGGTAAACAAGCTTTACATCATAACCGATGAAAATCAACCAAACGTGTTAATATACTAGACTAAATTAATTACTTGAGAAAGTTCTGCAACATGGATGATGAAACTAGTATGTGAACGTTACGGATTCATCAGTAATAATAAGTTTAAGGAATAACAGTCAAGTATCACACAAGAATGATAAATCAACGGAAGAATCGTTGAAGAAAAAAGCACCCATGATGCAACTATAAATGCGTCATCCTAAAAGTCAGTGATGTTTATAATTATGATGTTTAATTATGGTATGCACTCTCACACTCCAACGGAGTGAACACATGAAAATGACGTCAGTCCACTCGCCAATAGTCACATGCACATTCAGGTACATTGGGTAATAAGAAAAGGTCGAATGAAGTGACAAGATCTTCAAGCAAGGAGATGATGAAGAAAAAGGTTCAATCTCATGCGAATGAGGGCGCACTCGCCAGAATGAGGGCGCACTCGCCACCTACATGCAAAATAGCAAAGGCGGAGAGACGACAAAAGAGATATTTGCCTGATTTCGTGTGTACTCGCTCGTATTTCCACGGAGCTGTTAACAAATATAGGAGTCGAACGCAACATATGTGAATAAAGAAAACGTAAGAATCAAGAAATTTTGTAGCTTTAAATAAAACGTTTTTGTCTCATGGCAAATACCTCTAGCATGTTGTCTTCTCTTTTTGTTGTAGGAAATATTACGTAAATGTATGTACATGCGTCAATTATTATCTTTGGTAAAATCTGCGGAAAAGGTTGGAGGTTTCTATGTAACATGCATACATAGTATTAAAGGGTGTTGAAATGCTCAGTATTGTGTCAACTTTTAGTATACAAAAAAAATTTCCTCTCAATTACAAGCAGACACATTATCCTAGAGGTATTTTACCCTTTGACTAAGTTAAACACAAAACCAAAATACTGTATGAAGATTTATTTATGATGAAAACTACATTAAGCATTATGTATCTGTTCTTCTCATACAGCAACCAAAGTGTCCGCATTAATTTGTTGGATAAAATAGGTAATAAAAATAAAACATTTCAAGTTTATATTAATTTTAAAAGCAATAATAGATTTAAATAAACTCAAACGGTATACCAAACCAACAAAGTAACTATTTAATGAAAACAATGATAAATATGCTTATCATTATTAAACTAGCAAATAATCATGAACAAGTATATTATGTAATCACTGCTTTAAGAAATATAAGAATCGTAATAGAATAGCCAACAATAGTCGCACTGCAAAAACAAAAACAAATGTAATAATAATTAGTAATCAATATGAAATGAGAGTTATGATTTAAATGTAAAACTGAGAAACATGTTCACCAACCTTGCTGCATACATGAGGCAAACGCAAACCACATACTGTTTCTGAAGTTAAAGTCGTCAACGTCTGGACTCCGGTTACTACTTCGGTAACTGCTGTACGGACTAAGTCTATCCAATACATACACCATAATGCCGACAACAAAGAGCGCCGCCAAGATAGAAAACCAAACAGTACATGCAAGCGGATCGAGAAAAGCGAAAACATTTCGTTGTTCTTCGGTCTTTTTCATTAGTATTCCAACGCCGTAATTCATATATGGCTTTGTAAAATCGATCACTTCTTCCCGATCGGAATTTATAATCATGCCTGCTAACGCAATATCAGCCTTCTAAAAAATCAGAAAAAAATATGAAGAACTTTTAGACGTGGGTCAATGCATGGGCACATAAGTTTTTACTGTATAAGGAACATATTTTAGCAATAACAGCCAACTGTGATATAAGCCTAATAATATTATTATTATTTTCTATTTTTTGCTACCAAACAGATCACCAGTTGAAACACTATACTATACTATAGTATACTATAGTATACTATAGTATACTATTAAACCCTATTGCCATTATCATAACACTTAACCATGATTTCGACTACTCTTCACTAATGCAATATAAAAATATATTGTGACAAAAATATAACTTACGGAATAGTACACTTGTCCAATCAAACCATTCCATTTACCATCTTTCTCTCTTACGCCATATTGTTTGTCAGGCACATCGTAAATAGTGTATTCAAATTCAAGATCCTTGGCAATTTTTTGGATTAATTCGATGCAGAACCCGGTATACTCAGTTCCCTCAACCGAATCTTCTTTCACCACAAACGGCGCCTCCTAATTAAATTAATGAAATATATTATATATACTTTCCGAAGTGTTAATCAATCCTAATAATCTGACCATTTGAAACGTGTCATTCAATAGGCAGGGCCAGGGATTAATCACGTGCATGTCCCAAAAAAAAAATCTGTTTTCACAAATTCAGCTGAGCAATGTCGTTTTGTTAGACCTTAACAACAATATCCAAGAAGTGGGTCTTAACGAAAGATTGATCATGAAAAGATGTGTTCACATGATTTTACATACATTTTCAAACATTTAAGTCCATAATAATCTAGTTTAATTTTTTTACTTCCCCTTTGTTCCACTGTACATAATATTTGTTTTGAAATATCTCAAATAACAATGGGTAGGACAGAAATCTTGTAAAAACATAGGCTCAAAGTAATAATATCAAATTGTAGTTTGAACTGCGCATGCCCATATCCAGGTCAACAGACACAAACACACATACACACACACAACATAGGTTTATGTCGACTGACCTTGGATACGCATGCGCAGTTCAAGCTAGAGATTGGCTATCGACGACCAAATGGGACCAAACTTGTTGTTTATCAGTATTTAAAACAAAATAAATTGTCATTATCCCAGTGGTGGCGCCAGAGGGGACAACAACAACGATAACAATAACAATGACAATAATAATAATATTAATAATAATAATAATAATAATTATTATTATTATTCAATGAGACTAATTAAAAATACTTTGCGTTCTGTTATGACAAATGCTTATTCAGATAGCCTCATGATGGTTGGAATACACCGTGATAGATGAAGCAACCTCGACCACGAAAGCGTGGTTGACAGATTTCATGCAAAATTTCCAAAATATAGAATTTCACTTAATTAGATGGTTACATTGCATACCGGTACTCATTGTTTCTTGTTTTATTCAAAATGTTTTGGTTTTGGAAGCTGATTTCAACATTAGAAAGCATAGCCTACATGTTATAGTAACTCGATGCCTATCAAATAAGTAATAAAAATTCGCCATAATTCATCAAATATCCGTGGCTTCCAGTACCCTCACTGGGGGCCCTAGACGGCCCCCTGGCCCCACCCAAGTGAGACTCGATTTGCTCCACTATCTCCCCCCCCCCTTGGGGCCTTTAGCCCCTCCGTCGGACAGGTCCTGGCGCAACCACTGCATTATCCAAAAACTTTGAAAATCACATAGGGCTTCGTCCTACCACAATCGTTACGATCCTTAGGGTCTTATTTTTTGGAAACGAGTTCTGGAAGACGAACGGTGTCGCTGTTAAGTTTAGACCTCCGACTATATCCCATGTTCCAATCTAAATTTGAAGAAATAATAACTGTAATAATCATTACAATAATAATAATAACAATAATAATAATAATAATAATAATAATAATAATAATAATAATAATAATAATAATAATAATAATAATAATAATAATATAGGGTAGTTATTAATAAATTAAGTATAAATTATCTATTGTTGTTTTCCTAACAGATATAAAGAAAGTTAAATTATTTACCTTTAATGATGATGATACATTAGAAGTTCGTTGTATTGTTAATATTTCCATGGAAATATTGATGTTAACGTCAGCATTAGGTAAATAAATCGGCCCCGTGAGCCCTTTGAATGGCGACATCTGTGGATTAAATTTAAATTCAATTTATTTTATTGCTGCTTATGCCATCATGGGCCAATATCCGCACAACATAAATACATGACAAAACACAAGTGACAATTTGAAAGTACTGTCTACAAAATTCTATAATAACTATGCATTAAAGATGTATTGTCCCTTGCTAATGTAAAAAAAAATCATAAAAAATAAGTTTGAAATAAACTTGCTCATCTTGCAATAACATACAAATTATTAACTTGTGCATAGAAATTATTGAATTAAAAAAATGTGTACTCTGATTTTTAAACCAACAAATTATAATAAGTATGATAAAACCCTACCAGTGACTGGAAGTGTTTCTATCATTTTTCGATGTAAACTGATGGGTAGGCATTTTTAAAAAACACTAATTTCTATGTTCAAATTGATAACTTTTATGTTACTTCAAAATGGGCAATTTAATTTCAATAAAATATATTTTTATGATTTTTTTTATCCTCAGCATGTGACAATACATCTTTAAGGGGTAGAGACGTCACTCCACTAGGGTCCCGATAACCCACACACCCCACCTAACCGAACTATACATCCTGAGGGTATTGACGTTACTCCACTAAGGTCCATAAACCCGCATACCCCACCTAACCTAAAACTATAATAATAATCAATGTATGTTTGATAAACATGATTCATTTTAAATAACAGTAGGCATAGCATTAATGTCGATTTCATATAATACAAATAATGCCATTCGGTGAATAAATACACTTATTTAATTATTTCCAAGCCAATAGCAAAATATCGCGACTTAAAGGATGGACATTACAATCTATAATATAAACTCTAAAAATACAGAAGCACAGGCAAGACAACCTAAGTACATTCAAAACTAACCCCCACCCCCACCATGAATATAGAATCAAGAAACTAAACACAGTTACAAAGACAATTTAGATCGGGATACTTTTTCAATTGAGCAATCGGAAATGTTTAAAACTATTAAAAAATATATCAATGTATATTGTTACCATGTTAAAAAAATCCCGAAAATGAGGAAAGTGATTTATGTCAAAACTTGCCTACTGCCCTCTGGGAGTCTGCTTATTATTACACTTACTGAATGCACGCACACGATTAGAAGTTGGCCTGCTTTGAAAATTTGGATACGGGCATACGCAGTTCAAACTAAAAATTAGTTATAAAATCATACTTACAGATCGGACTGTATTCATTAGCTTTGAACCTGTTTCCCATTTTTCATTGTTCTTTTTCTTTTTTCGCAGACATCTATTTTCCAATGGATTTTCCCAGCTTTTCTCAATCTGGAGTTTCACTGCGGTCGCCACAAACCGAATAGCATCGTACAAATAGGCAGCAGTGATCTGGATAAGAAAACAGACTTGAAATTTTCTATCAACTCTCAACTCGTTAGGATTTCGAATATATATTTTCTATTAGCTTATATGTACCGTATAATGTAGTGATAAATAAAATAATTTCCAGATAACGTCAAACGGTAGTACTGGTAAAATTTAAGATTCTTTTAAGATATGCCGAGATTCTTTTTCCCCCCGATTTTTATTTTAAATGAGAGTATATACTGTTATAAAACAAACTTAACTTATGATAAGCCATACAGCTGCGTTTATATGTCATTAATTTGAATTAGGCCTAGGACTACCCCGATTTAGTACAATAGGCCTAGCTCAGTTATATGTCGATGGAAATTAAGCTTTGTCCGCACTATCAAATTGTTGTATGCCCATATATAGTCATGATGTGCCTACATATAGTCATGATGTGCCCATATATAGTCATGATGCGGTGTCATCATGACCATATAAAACGGTAATGAATACCTGTGTAGTTAATGTAGTCTAGGATACAGTAAGCCAGAACGTTAAGGAAATTGATTTGAAGTTGCAGTTAATTCAATTCAGTTCAATATTTATTTGCTACAAAAGCCATCAATGGGCTATTATCCGCCAAACAAAAAACATAACACTATAAATTATCAACATTTGCTATAGCCAATAAAAATATCCATAAGAATTAAACAACAAATCAATGTGTTCCAATCAGAGCAGTACGGATAGAGGCATTGTTTGCAGAAGACGGATCGAGACTTAGAGACGAGCAAAGCTTAAGTGCATTTATGGGAGAAACGAAGATTTGAAACGTTCGGTTCTACAAGAAAGTGGTAAGAAGGCAGATTGTCGGTGATTCCTAAGCGATATAGAAGGACAGTTAATCAGATCAACAATATCATTGATGAAACAAAGGAAAAGGATAGGACCAAGTTTGCTGCCTTGTACGACCCCGCTGCTGAGAGGAAGTTTGGTAGAGGTAATTCCTTGAAAAGAAGTTTGCTGAGTTCGAAAATGAACATTACCGATGTTGATTAATAGCATGTCTACAGCATTGGGTCAAGTCACACAAGCAACTTTCATGATGTAGGGCATTATGTTGATCTGGTCAGACTTCATTGTTTTTTTAATAGTGCATGGTAGTCGGCTACATCTACCGTAAATATCTTTTAACCAACCTGGATATCTTCAAAAGGGTTTGGTGTGATGACAGCTGCGTCTGATTCAAATGTATAATTGACATGAGGATGAAGGTGTAACCAAGCCTCTAAAAAGTCTGGTTCTTTATTAATTAAAATCTGGTTTCTCAGTAGCTCCAAGATACCCCTATCAGTGGTGTTGAAGAATTGCAGTCCCTCTGCAGCCTAATGGAGATAAGAGTGTTAAGTAACGGAAATATACCGTGTTATAATAGTTTATCAA